TTAAAATTTCAATTTTGCATGCTTTGCATTTCATGAATTTCACCAAAATTTCTCAACTTGCACTACTCATAACTTGATCAATTTTCATCTTTTTAGGATGATCTATGACTTTTTGGAAATCCCAAGATGTCCCCTACAATCTATAGGTTGACCATTTTTGCATTTGGAGAAATTATCTTGATGTAACTTGCCTTAACAATAAATGCCTTTTTGTTTTTGACTTTCAAAATGACCTGTAATGTATTGGCTTATGTCTTCCAAATGATGCATTTCTTGAACTTGAGGATAAAAGAAAAGTTGTAAGGAATTAAATCCTCTTCCAAATGGGTTTTGGTTGGGGAAAAATGGATGAAGCATGTGAAATTTATGTTTGGTCAAAGTTCAGTTGACTTTTCCTAGGAAACCCTAATTTTTCAATTTTGGATTCTTTATGATTTGATAGCATTCCTTGAGGAATCATGATCAATCCTTGATCAAATGATGGATATCACTTCAAAATATTGATGTTGACCAAAAATCTTGAAGTTTCACTGTATATTGACCACAATTGACTTTTGACCTAATATAATTGATTTCCAGTCATCTGAACAATTGACTAAGCAAACTTGTAATGCAAGGCATGAAAATTGGCATGAGCATTCTTGAGGACATATTAGGAACCATGGAAATCACTTGAGGCCTTTGAAACTCATACTTCTTTGTCAAAAATGAAACCCTAGTTGGAGATCCATTGCTTAGGAGGAGAATTTGTTTGGTCAATCTTTGGTCAACCTTGAGCACTTGAGGAACTCTAGGAGTATGTTTTGAGTAAATTGAGAGGGAAATTTTTTGGGTAGAACAAAAACGTTAGTTAAAGTTTTTATTGAAAAATGTTCAAATAAATAGGCTTTTATGTAGGGTATTAGGTCAAACATACCTTTGAAAAGGCCATACTCGGACCTAAAAATAAGCATATGATAGACCATAAGCCAAACTTAAGTTGAAAAAACCTTACGAACAATATTATAAGTTGTTTTCATAAGTTCTCTAAAAAAAATAGTATCATATAACTTATGTTAATATGTAAACTTGAATAAGACAATGAAATAAGCATTTAGTCTCGTTGATATTTTAATTTATTATTGAAATTATGGTATATACAATATCAGAAATCAAGACTGATGTCTTACCAACACGCATTGTCACAATAGATGTTACGACATCTGATGACAGAACAACAAACAAGATAACAACAATGCAGAATTATAACTTGAAGAATAGTAAAGGAATACATAGAATTGTTAACCCAGTTCGGTGCAAACTCACCTAATTTGGTGGCTACCAAACCAAGAAGGAAATCCATTATTAGTAGTATTAATTTACAGCTAAACAATCCTAGTTTACACCCTCACTTAATCCCAACCCAGTACATCTTCTACCTAGGCACCTCCTAGATATTAGAACCCTCTCACTCCCAAGCACCATAGTGATAAAAGATCAATCCCAATCCCATGGAATGTCTCAAGAAACCAAAAGGGGAGAACACACTTCCAAATTTAAAATACTTAGTTTGCTTCAAAGCTTCACTAAGAACAATACTTAAATCTTGCTTAAAAGCTTTGAGGAGAACAGTAACTTGATAAACAAGAAACAACCAGTCAACTCAAATGCATCAAAAGATACATGAGGACATAAAAAGACACACGAAGAATCTAAGGACTATCAAACCCTAAACCATTATTTTTCACAAGGTTTTACAATAAAAACTATACTTAAAAACTAGGTATTGGATGACTCCTTATATAGACTTATGCAGTTGGGCTTGGACTCTTCAATCAAATATAATCTTCAGCTCTAAATCCTTGCAAAATTTTCTCCACAAAAATAGAAACAAAAACAAATCTTTCAAATATTTCTTAAAAAGTCTCAAATATCTTTTTTATAAAATAAATCAAATCTGCAATTATTCATATCAATCTTTGATTGATTGTGCCTGTCATGACTACTAGAAACCTCCAGAATCTCATATTTTTCTATCAAATCGTCAAGGATAAAAATCTAGTTGTACTGATATGATGTTATGTTGCAACATGTTACAACATCTAATAAAATATCTGTCAAAAAGTAACAGCAAATCCTGTTGTAGCAGTTGGTCAAGATATTATGACATCTTGCTCAACATTATACTGCAATAAATGTTCATCCCAAATAGAACATGTTGGTATAATGTTGTCAACTATTTTTTTTACCAAACTTGTTGCCAACCATAAAATCACAGACCTAACAATCTCGCCCTTTGGTAAATTTTGGCTAAACAACCAAAAACCAAATATCCCGGAGAGAGGAATAAAACCATAAACGCAAGTTATATGAAACCATGTAAACTCTATAAATACAATACAACTCATAAGCTTGTACAATCAGACATATGTAGTACCCCCATATCATACACAATCAGTTCTCCCCCTCAAGGAAAAACCATAAAACCCCACATCAGAACACATGCAGCAGAACAACAAAAGCAACAACAACAACTTCGCCACAAACAAGCATGAAGACTCATGCTCCCCATGAATGATTGCATGATCAACCAAACATATGCAACTACCCTCACAAAATCAGTAGCACACATTCCAATCACAATGCTAAATCAATATGTCAAAACATGTGACGTAACATCAGGACATGACACTTTACTCCCCCTTTTTAGCCAAAATATTGACAAAAAGAAATAAAGAAAATGTACACATGAAGTGGAGACATAGAGAACTTAGAACACATTTCCCCCAGGCAATAACACAAGTGTAAAAAAGCCCAATTTGAAGGAAACACAACAGGCATTGAAAACACCCATATTGCACAAATGTAATACCACAGATGGAAGCACACGTGAACACCGAGTGGAAAAAACAGATGGAAATGCAACTTCTTGGCCAGCTTCAAGAGGTCTTCCACCTCTTGCCCATGTCAAAGAGCCTCTTGTATTTCTTGGTGTTGTACTCAACCCCATTATTTTGCAGACTACCTTCTTAGTAGCAATTTGTCCAAGCATGTCATACCTCAGAGTATAGAGGAAATATGCATTAGTAGTTGCATTCCTCCATATCTGTAATTGTTATAACTCCTTGATAGTACAAGTTCCAATCTTATTGTTTTTTATAACAACAAGTTGTTCCTTGTTGTCCATATGACCCAGAGTGTCATCCTTTCCTTCAACAAGATTCGTGATCAATTGCTTACAACTACCAAGGTTCTTGCTCCAGTCATATTGAGTGAGATATCTGAAAGAATTAAGATCTTCAGTATGAAATTTCATGACATCTTTCTTGACATCATACCTCTTCAACAAAAGTTCAGAGTAACTTCCTCTTGTTTCCCTCAAGGTAACACATCCATTTGTTTTTATATCATTTAGTTAAATTCAGCGATATTACCTTTATCAGGGTGACTTGTAGTTAGTTCCCTGGTTTGTTCTATCTGTCCCTCAATAGACAGGCCTGTGATGGATTGAGAATACACTGACTCGGCATTTGTGAATTCACAAGCCTTCTTTCTCAGTGCTTCACCAGTTTGCACATAGGATGTTCCACTATTGTCTTTGACATCCTTCTTCTCTTTAGTGATTTATCATCAATTTTCACATTGATAGATTCTATTGTCATTCCAGTTCTGGAGTTATAAACTCTATAAGCTCTTCTACTCATAGAGTAACCAAAAAATATCCCTTCATCCCCCATGGGATCCTTCTTCACCACTTGATTTTTGTTAGCAAAGATCTGGCATTTGCTTCCAAATATATGAAAGTATTTGACTTTAGGTTTTCTTTCTTTCCATAGCTCATAGATAGTAATGTCATACCCCAAATTTGTCCGTCCTTAGTGCAACCATCAAATTTATTTTCGAACTTGGGTTTTAAAATTCCTTTGGTTTAATTACATTAACGTTTTGGGGTTTTAATAAATATTCGCTTTCGAATCTATTTAGAACTATAATTATTTGTATTTAAAAAAAATAGCAAAAAATTGTACGTCTACATACACTTTCAATTGGCTTTTTATTTCAAATAAATAACATAGCACAGTTGATAAGGAAGCATAACTTGAAAGTATAAGGCTTTTGGTGGACTTTTAATATTTTTTCTATTTCTTTTTTTTTCCACTAATTTTCTTTCCTTTTTTAGAGATCAGGCTTTGGACTTTTCATTTATTTTGGTGCACTTTTAATACTTATTGTTGTCCTAATTTTCATCAACAATTCTACCAGAGATCCAAAATTTCACAATCATCAGAAATTCAAACATTTGTTTTGGTTTATTACCGGGTTTCTAAACAGAAACCCTGAAACCATTGTTATCTATATCAGACAATAACCAACAAATGACCGATGATTTCATATGAGACCTCCATTTTCATTTCTTTAATTTTTGTCTTTCTTTATAACTTTAATTTATTATTTTTATTGTATGATAATAATTACTGATGGTTTTATTGTTTCACTAACACTTCACACATCACAAAAATTCTTTTTTCACTCACACGAAAACCTTCGTGTACATATTTTTTCTACGCTGATTCATACATGTGAAAACATAAAGCACACAACCAATTCAACTTATAATAATGTTACACAGTCAATTCTTCACATACTACTAACACACCCGTTATGTACTAAATTCTATACAATCTACAAACAACCCTGCTTTTGTTACAAACCATATACCATCATAAAAACAATCTGCAGAATTGTTTTATATACAATCTTAACCAAACATCTACACTCAAATATCAAACTATTATCACTTTTTTTCTTTGTCTGTTCTTATTTTTTTTCAGAGAATAAAAATAAACAGGAAAAAATATGAAACAAAAGCGGTAGTAGAGAGAAATCAAAATAGAAGATTGAAACTCTTCCTTTCAAGCTGCCTTCGAAGCTCCAGTGAACCACCACGATGTATGTAGATCTGACACCTCCGCCAGCACGCCTCTAAGCCACCTAGATCGCGATCTTGAACCGATGAAACTATGACACGCAAACCCATATGTGCCGATGTGCGAAGAAGAAAAATAATCGGAACTACTTCCTCTTCGAACACGCTAGTATCCGCGTCTCAACACAAATTGCTACTCTCTGATCATAACCGAGATGGCCAGTACCGACGCAGCTGCGATGAGGCCGCACCAGCATCGGCTGCGATTCCACCCTCCAGCTCACAAAATCCACGAAAAGTTTCACGGCAGACGACTCTCCAGATGCGATTCCGATGACATACTGCCCTCCACCGCAAATCGTACGCGCAAACTCCACTTGCCAGACCTCCACTCACGCACCAAATCACTACTCTGACACACAACCACGATGCCTCCACCTACAAGTTCACCGCCCCAGATTTTCTTATGCTTCTAATTTATGTTTAAGTACTTAATTCAGATTTATTTTGTTTGAAAGGAGTAGGAAGATATGAGGAAATAAAAGCAGAGGAAAAGAAAAGAATGGGAAAAATTAGGGAAAAGAGAAGGAGCGTTCACAGGAAAGAGAGAGTATTTTCTTGCTTTTTTATTTTTCCTTTTATAATTTGTTATGGTTATAAATATTATAATAATATGAATGAATTGCGATCCTCTGTTTGGGCCTTGGACTCTTTAGAAGTCTTATATGTGTTCACCCCTGCCTCTTTCCAGTGATACCCCTAGGTTTCTATTTAGTTTCTACTCTCTAATTAGTTTAGTTGATTAATTGATTATTGTTAAAAAGAAACATGATGTAGATGTCATCGTTTTATTGTTAGGACCACTATGTAGCCTTGGTAAGTTAATATAGTTTGATAAGTCTTAATATAAAACAAAAATATATAGTCAGTACATAATTAAATACTTTATTTAAAACAATAATTAATTAAACACTTTTACAAATACAGGATTGGTGTATAAACATCCACCATATATTTTGGTTGGCTCAACGCCTTATCAATTAATTGTTCAATATTAAGATATTAAAAACCACACAATTCACCAATGTCCGACACGTGGTCAATATTTGGCCACGTGATGAGGAAGACTGTATCAGATTTCCTTCGCATATTTCATGACGAGCAATACGCAGCCAATATCTGGCCACATGATGAGGAGACTATATCATACTCCCTTCTCTATGTCATACCATACTCGATCAATCGACTTCAAAACAGCTAACCAACAACAATTCATATATTTTTCTACTAAACAAAAAAAAAACAAGATGTTTTCGAAAAAGGATTAAGGAGAATTTCTTTCGAAATTAACTGCGAAATATGTCTACACTCATACAATTTTCATCCCAGACAAGGTTCAAGGATAAGTACGAAAGCAATTCTATATAATCCATAAAAATACTAACCAACCGCAAACTACAAATTGAGACTTTGATTCCTCATAAGAGGATACGTAGGCATACGACTAAAATTGTGACGAGTTCCCCTAATTAAAAGACTCAAACCCTTTTTTCCCCTAATAAAAAACTAAAACCATATTTCCTAAAGATTGCATTTCTAAACCCTAGTATCCTTGTGAACAAGGTAGATGAGGGGTATCTAACACCTCCCCTTCATCTAAGAACAAGTCCAACAACTTAGAATGTCTGACTAAATTACGATTATCCTTTACATTCCCTTCCTTAGGATAAAAATTAAGGGTGGCGACTCTATATTTTTTACTGGTTACAACAGTTGGCGACTCTGTTGGGGACTCAACTCTAGGGTTTAGAAGCCTTCCTCTTAGGTTTAGGGTTTTTGTTTGTTTCCAATTTTTTCTTTTTATTTATTTATTTGCTTTCATATTATTTTGATTCTTTTATTTTATCATATTATATTTGATGTGGGGATTTTCATTTCTTATTTTAAAAATATATATATTTTTCAAGACCCTTAGAAAGAAGGTTCGTCTATTAGCCAATGGGATACATCAACCCTATGAGTTTATGTAACGACTTTTCCTAGAGTCGTTGGAATTCCACAAAAGAAATACGTCTCAAGAGGCATCCTCTTGGGGGGTAGGACTTCGGAATAAAATCTATGACTCTTTGTACAACCGTTAAATCAAAATCTCATGGCGAGACCTTTCATGGCCTAGAGACGAAAGTTTTGGTCTACAAAGAGGTTCCACTTAAGGGAGGCCCTTATGCCTTTCCCTATAGTGTTATCCATGATACCCTTAAGGAAGCTACCTTATGGGGAAGGGTAGAAAAATTTAGAACCTTTATAGGAATTCTCCTATAGGTTATTCTATCAATATCCTATCCTCTTAACCTGTAAGGGTATCCTCATCTCTATGTTTATCCCAAAAATTGGTATAGGGTATTCACATACCCTAAACCCGTATATAGTACTCACTATCCTAAATCCACAAGGGTTTTAGTTTGTCAATTACAAACCTTAGGTCCATAGAGATTCCCTTAAGTATGTTATAGCCTCTAGGGACTTCCATGTGTCTGTTACTATCTCTAGCCCATATGGATCCCCCTTTGACCCGTCATTGTCATTAGAACCTTAGGATCTTGACCTCCATATGAAACTTTCCCATGAAAGACGTTCTTGCTAATGCACGCCATATGGCCTATATCAGGCCTGTGAAGACAGGCTTCCTAAAGAGTTTTGATGAATACTGATACGGTGGGAGAACTGACTTGGTATTTTACATTTGTGTTCGCAAATGTTTCGGTTTAGCAAGAGTCGCCACCGACTTTTTATTTTATCCTAAGGAAAGGTCAAAAAGCACAGGAAAGACCTTTGAGATGTTTTCTTGGGTTCGGGGAGTAGATTATAGAAAGGGAAGGTATTAGCATCCTTTCTATCCATGGTTATCCATGGGCTCTTAGTTACTTGCTTAGATCACTTGTTTTGCTTTTCTATTGTTTGAAATGGTGCTCTTCAATTGTTTGAAATGGTGTTTTGTGTGTGATTTTGAAAGATGTCTTGAAAAGAGGCCATCGTTGTGGCAACCTTTGTAATGATTCTTGTTTGAATGTATATAAAGGTGTTTTTGTCTTTTGAAAAGTTTCCAATGTTTGAAAGTAGGGTTTTGAAATTGTGTTTGTGAAGTGTGTTTGAAAATAGCAAGGATATTTTTGCAAGTTTTTTGATCAAGTAACTAAGAGCTATCTACCCTATTTTACTCAAAGATCTTTCTTATGTTTTTAACCCTTTTAACAGTGTTGCTTCACCATTGTATTTGGCGAACAACCTTGTGTTAGGATGTTAAACGGGACGGGCGCGGGTCATCATATAGACCATGATAGCAATTGTGTCAAGTATTTTTGGCAATTTTCTTAAGGGACTTGATCATTTTGTTTAGGCAACTCAGATGGCGTCATCGAGGGACTATGATCTTTTGTTTTGTTTTTGTTTTACCAAAGTACTTGACATGCATATCATGGCCCATTTTTGAATGCAACAAGTGGATTGTAACCCTAGGGGTGCTAGTGTGCATTGTGTTTGTTTTTCATGCATTGTTATCTTGGATTAGGTCAAACTAATTGTTAATTTTATTTTGCATACAAACCCTAGGTCTAATCATGGCATAATTGAAGGCATTTAAAGGTGAGAGAATTTAAATTCTACACCATTACAACATGATATAGGGAGGGGGTACAAATTTGAATTGGGGATTATTTTGCAAGAAATTAAATTCTAAATTATTACAACCAAATCGAATGTATAGGATACAATATTAAATACACCATATTTAAATAAATACAATAAATATTCAATAAAATGTATTATGTAAAAAAAGTTTTTATGTATATAAAAAGGTATTTTTAATGTGAAATGTAAATAAATAAAAGTTAATTTCAATTATTTTTGTTCTTTAGGGCAAAAAACCCTAATTTTAAATAAAATAGTATTATTTGTTTTTTATATACAATAATGTATTAATTTGTACAAAAAAATAAAAGTATATTGTAAAAAAGATATTTTTAGTGTAAAATATTAATAAAAATGAAAATGTATTATTCTTGTATTTTTTGTCCTAATTATTTAATGAAATGAAGTATATATATATATATATATATATATATATATATATATATATATATATATATATATATATTAAACATATTAAATATATAAAATAAAAATTAATTATTTACAAAAATGTGTATACTTCAAGAAAATATTTTCAAATGTGAATAAAAATAATAAATGAAAATAAACATGTTTTTACATTATTTTTAGGTTTTAATAAAAAGAATATAAAACATTTAAAAAAATTTATACTAGTAATGATTAAAATAAATCCCAAATAAATACAAAAATTTATGAAAATAATTTTTAAGTATTTTTTATGTTAGAAAATAAAATATCAAAATCAAAAATGAAATAAAAAAGCAAAAATGACAAATGTACAAATAAATGGGCCAGGGGGGTGTAAACTGAAAATGCATGTGTTAGAAGTAAAAACAACCAGGCCCAGCCCAATCAGACTTCATCTTCTTCCTCAGTTCAAGCCAAAACGCGCGCTTTGTACAGAAAATGTTATCTCCTGATTCCTTACTTTTTTGACAAAACTCATAACATGAAACTTGTAGAGCATCAAATAACGAATCCAACCATATAAAAAACTTAAGCTAACTCTCAAAGACCAGAGAGAATTTCTCTGGCCCTAATTCTTAACCTAGTTTTTTCAGAAAGTTCATGAACAAAATTCTCCTATCACGATTAATATAAATGAAAACTAAGCACATGTATGGTTTCAGGGCTATGAATACAACATCTTTCAATCACAAACCTAAGTCTAACTATTCCTAAATAGAGAGATAGAAGTTCATGAAATACCTGTTTCAGTTGACTTTGAGCTGGACAATACAACAACTTCCAAGGGTGCTTGAGGTTCTTTTGAGCTTGCCTGAGGTCCAATGAAGCTTTCCCAATGCTTGGCTTGTTTTGAAGTGGCCTGAATCGTGCTACAAAACTCAACCTGCAAAGCTTTGAAACAAAAATGGAAATGTGTGTTAATGGTGTTACAACTAGCAATGGAGGTCTGGAATAGTTCAGGTGTGTTGGTTGGAAGGTGTTTGAAGTATCTTTGGGCAAAACGCACGATGGAATTTGAAGATGGCTTGCAAAATGTAGAACTGGCTCTGTTTTGCAAGAAAATGGGGGAATTTGTGCACAAGGAGTTTTGAGAGATCAAGGAATCGTGTTTCTAGCTTGCTAGGGTGTATGAAAACTGTTTGACAACTTTGTTTTAGTTGCTAGGGTTCATATTTTCACAACTTTGAGATTTTTTTGAAT